AGGGCACAGGACAAAGCATTAGGGACAATATGTATGTGAAATTGGTTGAGACAGCAATGTTTTACTATGTAAAATGTAAAAAAAAAAAAAATGACATTTTTTAAAACTTTTAAATTTCCCGCCGGCGGCGCCCGTACGTCCCGACGTCACAGGGACAGGACACAGAAGCCGGCATCGGCCAGAGGAGATGGCCGGGGACGCTGCAGGGGACACATCGTGGGAGCGCAGGGTAAGGTAAGTGAAGAACACATGCCGGAGCAGTGCCGCATGGTATTCCCGAGTGTAGCTCGGGGTTACCGCTTTTGGTACTGAAATGTTTACCCCGAGCTACACTCGGGAATACCGCCAGGGAGGTTAATGCCTTCTGACAATTGATCCACCATGGATTGCTTTTCAGAGGGGTGGCAATATTAACTACATATGTGAATGACCCCTAAGGTTTTGTTGTACTAACATGTTGATCTGGCCAGCAAGTCTGTTACTCAACTTTCTTTAACCACTTGCCCTCCAGAGGATTTACCCCCCCCCCCCCCCCCCCCTTCCCGAGCAGGCCATTTTTTGTGTTATGGACAATTGCGCGGTCATGCAATGCTGCACCCATGTCCTCCCTTTTTTTTTTTTTTTTTCTTTTTTTTCTTTTTTTTTTCCCCACGAATAGAGGTTTCTTTCAGTGGTATTCAATTGCGTGTTCATTTTTTTTTTTTTTTTAATGCGCTATAAAAGAAAAATAGACTGATAATTTTGAGAAGAAAACTATATTTTTGACTTTTTGCTATTAAACATGTCCAGTAAAAAAAATTAAAATCAAATTTCGTCATAAATTTAGGCCAAAATGTATTCTGCTACATGTCTTTGCTAAAAAAAAAAATCCAAATACGTGTAAATTCATTTGATTACGTGAAAGCTATAGCATTTGCAAATGGCAGTATATATACTGAGATTTTTTATCTTTTCTAGTAATGGCGGCAATCATTGACTTATAGCGGGACTGCAACAGGAATTCTTACACTGGGGGGGTAACTGACTTGATGTCATTGACATCACCAGTGACACCAATACAGTGATCAATGCTAATAAAAAGCACTGACACTGTACTAATGGCACTGGGCAGGAAGGGTTAACTATGTGCTCTGTGCGTTTCACTGTAAGCACACTGCTTTCCATGGCTCTGCTATGCAAAGCCATGCATAGCAGTGTGCAGGAGCTGAAGGGAGAGAACTGTATTGTTTATTTCAGGTACTTGTATAGCGCTGTCAATTTTATGCAGCGCTTTAAACATTATTTTATATATATATATATATATATATATATATATATATATATATATAAATAAAAATGTACATTCACATCAGTCCCTAAACCCTCAAGGGGTGTACAATCTAAGGTCCCTAACTTACATTCATACATACACATACTAGGGACAATTTAGACAGGATCCAATTAACCTGCCAGCATGTCATTGGAGTGTGGGAGGAAACCGGAGTACCCGGAGGAAACCCACGCAGGCACAGGGAGAACATGCAAACTCCAGGTAGGTGGTGCCGTGGCTGGGTTTCGAACCAACGACCCTAGTACTGCCAGGCGGAAGTGCTAACCATTTAGCCACTGTGCTGCCCACACAGTTCTCTCCCTCCATCGGTAATGCTTCTCGATTGCCAGGTGCCAGCGAGTAATCACCGACCAGGACCCAGTGATTGACAGCCAAGGCCGCGAATAGCGGCGCAGGTAGGGTGCGTGTGCAGCTCGTGCGTGCCCCTTACCCAGAAATGCAGAATTACGTGTGTGTGTGTCTGTGTGTGTGTGTGCTAGTCCCATGTTGAAAAATTAAGAGGTTACAAAAGTTACCAATCTCTTGTAGGACAGAATACAACTTCGAAAGCGATGTTATGTTTTGTGATTTATTGTAATGTGTTCTTTCGTTTCCAAGCACTTTTATCTTATACAAATAGCACTCTCTCTCTCTGTCATTGTAAAACATGCCCAGCTGAGGCTGGCAGTCCACTGCTGTGTGCTAGAATGGTTTGGGGGGGGGGGGGGGGGGGGGGGGGGGGATTGCCTGATGTCAGGGAAAACTTTCAGTAATTGCTCATGCAGATAACCGGAAGGAGAGAGTAGCCAGGTTTCACAGTAAGTAGTGTGGATTGATGCAAGTACACACACTATGGAAGAGATATACTTAAACTGGAACTGTGCTCACTGCCAATCCTGCGATGCTCTGTCCCGGAGCTCCCTGCCTGGCCGCTGACATCTTCTGGTGGCCGGCTTACGGGTCTGAACGGTGACCACTGTCATTGGTCAGATGGGTATGACGTCACTCTCGCAGATGTGCGGGTGTTCTGTCAAATTCAGCATTGCCAAATTTGTACAGTGAGCTGCACCTGTGCTCCTCACTGTACAGGGGTGATTTACATCTATATGCAGATTAGAAAAGATGAAGTATTTTACTTGTGTATACATGAATGCACATTTTCTAGCCTGTACACTTGTAAATGCGTGCTCTTTATAAAACATAACCTTTTTTTCTTTAAAGTAAATAAACATAACCTGCGTGGTTTTTTTTTTTTTTTTTTTTTTTTTTTTTCTTGGGTTCTTTTTCCTGGCATTACCCTGTGCGTAACACACACATTAATTAGTAAGGGCCGGTTCACACCACATGTATTCCATTGCTTTTTCTTTTTTTCTGCATCAAAAACACATGGATAGTAGGTTATATGGTTTCCAGTGGCATAGTTCATACCAGTGCGGTCCATTCCAGTTCCAGAAAAAAAGTAGAACATGCTGCATTTTTCTTCTCCACTGAACTGTACTGGAACGTGATAAAACCCACCAGTCCTTATTTAAAGAGGAGATCCAGTTGTTTTTGTGTTTATTAAAAGTCCGCAGCTACAAAAACTGTAGCTGCTGACTTTTAATAAACACACACATGCCTGTGTCAGGATCCATCAGTGTTGTCACCCGAGCCATCCCCTCTCTCCGTCTTCTCTCCCTTGCGCCGGCATTTCAATTGTGGGCACCCGGCCATCACAGGGCTGTTGCACATCCGTGAGTCATGCTCCACCTCCTTAACGATCTGGCAGTCTTCTGGGACCTGTGAAGTGTCCCAGAAGACTGCGGAGCGGAAGGAGGGGGGCCGAACATCCGGCTCAGTTTGCCGGGGTGGGTGCAAGTACCTGTCAAAACTAGGTACTCGCCCACTCACTCCCCCCCCCCCTGCATGTGATTATGTAATTTTAGCTGAGTGTGTTTTTCAAAAGTTGTTATACACATACATATATGAGCTCTATATATATACCAACCATGGCACTACCTGCCTGGAGTTTGCATGTTGTCGCTGTGCTGGAGTGGGTTTCCTCTAGGTACTCCGGTTTCCTCTTACACTCCAAAGACGAGCTGGTAGGTTAAATGGCTCCAGTCTAAATTAGATCTAGTATGTGTATGTATGAATGTGAGTTGGGGACCTTAAATTGTATGCTTCTTGAGGGCAGGGACTGATTTGAATGTACAATTTATGTGACGCGCTGCACAAATTAATGGTGCTATTTAAGTACCTGTAAAAAAATAAATATATTTTGAAAAATGTAAAAGGATTTCACAACTTGTGCAACTATTAGTCCACAGTTGGGCAGTTTACAAGTGCAAGACATTCAGCAAATAATTCTGCAGCAGAATGTGGGCATGTTTGTGACAAACATTAAAACCTGGAGGAACACTTCCAGCACAGCCTGGTTGTAATGAAGCACTGCCTGCAACAGCAAGTCCTAAAGGAACTGCAAACTGTGACAAGGAGTGCAGAGCCAACAAATCATATACCTGTCCTGCTTGGTCAGTCACAACCCTCAATGCATGGTGGTGGTCTAGGATGTACTGTTCTTTAAGGGAGAGGGAAGTGACATCACATAGTCCTTCATAAAGTTGGGTTAGATTACTATCTTATGTACAGTTCCCACGTAAGGGGGTAGAGGGTATGCTGTGTGTTCTGGGGGGCAGATCTTACTAGTGACAGGGATACTGGACAATGAGTTGTGTGTACTACAGTGTACATATTACTGCTGAAAACGGACACTGGGCTGTGTGTACTGGGTTGCATACCATGTTACTGGCATGGATACCAAGCAGTGAGCTGTGTGCACTGGTGCAGCGGCTTATGCGGCTGGCATGGAAACTGGTCAGTGAGCTGGGTGTACTGGAGTACGCATCTTACTGCTGGCATTAATACTGGATTAGTTATCTGTGGGAGGGGGCATGAAGGTCAGTGTCTGCTGCTGGCAAAAATCCTGGGTGGTGAACACTGTGTGTATGTGTACTGATGGGCAGATAATGCTACTGGCCTGGCTACTGGGTATTAAAGTGATACTAAATGGTTACATGTAATTTACAAATAAAAAAATGTTATACGTACCTGTTCCTGTGTAATGATTTTTATCCTCTTTTCGGGTTTACCACCAGTGCCCCCAATAGCAAACTGCTTGCTATGGGGGCACTGGTGTGTGCGAGCACCCGCTCGATGCGTCCATAAAACGCCTAGAGCTGTGCCTCGGCTCAGCTACCTCTCTCCTCAGTGGCAGTGATTGACCACCAATGAGGATTGGGAGACCCAAGGCTTTCCTGCACATCGCTGAATCGAAAGGGGACTTAAGTAAGTATTAGCAGGGAGCAGCACACAGAAGGTATTTTATCTATTTAATATGACGGGCGCAAGGTGGTTCTCTCGTTCTGGGAGGACGTCTATTTAGTATGACGTGCTCCCATTTTCACTGCGCATGCGCGGCTCAAGGAGCGCACAGCGCTGCGATCGGAGGTGTGCTGTGTCCCTCGGACACAGTGGATCACCGATCACGAAAAGAGCCGAAAGATGTCGGCTCGGTCATGCGATCAGCTGTGTTCATCGGCATTTCTCTTCTCTCGAGCTGTCACGCTGACAGCTCGAGAGGAGCGCCGGTAATCGGCTTTCCGCGGAGGGGACATGTACACTGATGATCAGTGTAGCCCCAGCAGTACCACCTGTCAGCGTCCGTCAGTGCCTCGTGCCAGTGACTATCAGTGCCTACCAGTGCACATCAATGCCACATATCAGTGCCCATCTGAGCTGCCTTTCAGTGCTGCCTATCAGTGCCATGTATCAGTGCTGCCTTTCAGTGCCACCTACCAGTGCCTCCTCATCAGTGTCCATCAGTGAAGCCTATCAGTGCCCATCAGTGCAGCCTCATTAGCGCACATCAGTGAAGAAGAAAAAATCACTTTACAAAATTTTATAACAAAAACTAAAACATTTTTTTTTCAAAATTTTCAGTGGTTTTTGGTTTAAGAAAAATATGATTACCACCCAAATAAAGCTCTGTCACAAAAAAATGATAAAAATTTCATATGGGTACAGTGTCGTTTGACCGCGCAATTGTCATTCAAAGTGTGACAGCGCTGAAAGCTGTAAATTGGCCTGGGCAGGAAGGGGGTGTAAGTGCCCTGTAGGCTAGTGGTTAAGCTGTGTGTATACTGCGGGTAGACCACACTGTTCCTATGGATGCTGTGCAGTGAGCTTTGTGTATACTGGTGGGCAGATGGCATTGCTTACATGGATACTGGGTTTGTGAGCTGTGTGTGTGCCTGAGGGCTAATCACGCTGCTGGTGTCGACACTTGACAGTGGGCTGTGTGTGTACTCTGGGGGCAGATCACTTCCGACATGGATACCGGGCAGTGAGCTGCATTTGTAGTAGGGAGCCATGTACGCTGATCTCTTCTCCTTGACATACTGTTGGTGCAGGAAATTAGTGTTCTCTTTGTAGTTCCTGTGTGCAGAAAATTGGTAATTTTTGAAATTGTCAATGCTATGGATGAAGATAAGGCCACATTTTAATATTTATTTAGCAACCCTCAAATTCCTCAGGCTTGCAAATATTTTATCTTGTTTGATGGTTTCACCATTCCACATTGGCCATAGCAGTCACATCTGCAGAACGCTTTATAGACATTTTCTCTACATTGCTCAAGATTTTATTGCTTGTTTTTGTCTTGGATGTCTAAATTAATAATAATTCTAATTCTTTATTTTTTGTGTGTGACCACCTCATAATGCTGACCTGTCACTTTTCCCAAGTTTAGGCACTTTCCAAATCCATGTCTTTCAGACTTCAGTTATCCAGTTAGTGTTGTAAAGTATTTGACAGCCAAGGAAGCGCCAAGTGCTTTTTACTGATAAATATGGGTTGTGGGGTCCAGTTTTCTGGAACTTTATCTCCTAGCAAATTTTAAAACTGGGGGTACACAGCTTCCCCTGGTGGGTCATGAAGGAAAGCTTTAAAGCCCAGCTTCAACCTGTGGGGGAAGGTTATGTGAGTGTCTGAGTTTTTTTTTTTTTTGTTTTTTATCCTGGTCTGTGGCCCTACCGGAGAGATTTAAAGCAGAACTCTGGGATTCTGTAAGTTGAGATTTTTCAGATCCTCTCCCCAGGCTCTTTAAAAAAAAAATGTATAAGGTTTAAATTAAGAGGTCTTCCTTTTCTTATAATCCTTATGTTTCACCCCCCATCTTGCCCTAGCTGCATGCCTCTGTTTCCGTGCTTCGGGAGCCGGATTTTCTGCCCTGCCGCACGCTACGTCCGTGTCAATATAAAGAACTACATTTGCCTTCATGCATCGTAAAATGGTAGAAGTAGTAGGCGGTTGGGTGGAGCTGGGGCTAAACTTCACCTGGAGATTCAATGTGAGGTGGGCGGAGCTGAGCTTGAGCTGCAGGCAGGGTTGAGCAGTGACCTTTACCGGTGGGTGGTTCAGACCAGCAATTTGAATATCTCTTGACTGTCCACTACAACAAGCGGATATGTTATTACGTCTCCGCTCATTCACAGAGAATTACAGCAGGGATGTTGTTGGCACCTGTGATAGAGAGCTCTTATTGATCCTCAACTTGGGGTTCCCCAGGGCGCGGAGTCTAAGCCCCAGCCTGCTTGTTCACCAGAGCCCCTGATGGTGGGGATGGACTTGCAGCAAACTGGGACCAGGTCGCGGCCCCCAGGTACGCCCAGCTGAGGTTGAGGAGACCGCTTGCAGGAGCAGAGTATAAAGGGAGGAGACAAACAGAATCTGATAGGCAAGCCGAGATCAGGACAGGCGGAAAACGAGCAAGGTCAGAGAACAAAGCCAGGGTCGGTACACGAGTAGTCAATGTAGGATTCAGACAGTAGTAACACACAGGAGCTCCAACAACTAGGAAGTTGCTCAGGCAAAGTGGGCTAGACTGAGAATGTCTTGTATAGACAAGCAAACTAGGAGGCAGGCCAGGAAGTGATGGAAGGGAAGGAAATAAAACCCAGAGGATAGCAGATGACTCCCATAGGTGAGCACAGACAAACACACGTGAAGGGATAAGGAGCAGCAAGGAGGTAAGAATAAACAAACGAGGTTGCAAGCTAACTTGTGACAGAGGTTATAAGACCGGTGACTGCAGGGAAAGAAGGCACAGTATTTATTTATTTATTTATTTATCGAGTTTATATAGCGCCAAAGGGTTTGCTCAGCGCTGTACAATAGGGGGGGACAATACATGAAACAGTACAGTAACATCAAACAGCACACAAGGGGTAAGAGGGCCCTACTCTTTTGAGCTTACAATCTAGGAGGGAGGGGGTAGAGGTACAGGAGGAAATGGCTGTGGGGGATGGAGTGGTAGGAGGAGGGAAGGGCAGCGGCTGTTAGGTGAGGGTGGGGTAGGCTTCCCTGAAGAGGTGGGTTTTCAGGGAGCGCCTGAAGGTGAGGAGGGAAGGTGACAGTCTGATGGATTGGGGTAGTGAGTTCCAGAGGATGGGGACAGTAGCCACCGGTCTAACAATCCGGATATAAAGAATGAGTATTGGATGTCAAGACAACTATGTTTTTCACCTTTGCAACACTGGTAATCATTCAAACCAAAGGTCTCTAAACTATGGCCCTCCAGGTGTTGTGGAACTGCAAGTCCCATGAGGCCTTGCAAGACTCTGACAGGCAAGACTCGCAGAGGCATGATGGGACTTGTAATACTTCAACATCTGGAGGGCCAGAGTTTGGAGACCCCTGATTTAAACAATAACATATTCTTTGAACATAAGAAAGCACCTTTTATAGATATTAACATTTCTGGCTGGAGTTCTTCTTTAAGAAAAAGAAAGCTGTGAAAATTAACGAGGTTGCCATTGCTGAGCTTCCTCTAAAAATTCTAGTTGTATGCAGACAGTGCATTAAGGTAAAGACTTCAAGCTTTAGAACCACTTTAACTGTTTGCAGTAAGATAAAGAATGTTCAGTATGCAGCTTCCCCCTTATACTTCCCTGAGCTGATATGCACAGAGCAGAGGCCATTGTTTCTCACTGCTGTCAATCACAGCAAGTGAGGAGGGAGATTGGTTGTCAGGGCGGAGCCTCACTTTGTGTGTCTACTAATACACAGAGCTAGCTCAGGAGGGAGCCAACACAAGTGCCCCCATAGCAAACGGCTTGTTTTGGGAGCTTTTGGTATTGGTCGTTGGGGGGAGCTAGGAGTGCCAGTGGGGGACACGAGAAGAGGATGATCGGGGCTTCTCTGTGTAAAACCACAGAGCAGGTAAATATAGCGGGCTTATTTAAAAAAACAAAACAAAAACCCTTTACGATCACCTGAAGGGCCCATTCACACTAGAAGAATAACTGACTTGTGAGAGAAACTCGTTTCCCTTGCTGGTTTCCCGCACCACATTCCAGTCACACTGCCCTTTAGATCTGCAGCGAGTGCAATTTCAGTGTTAACACTCCAAATGCAGGTTGTAAGCGCAGTGCTTTGTCCTCACCAGATGGCGTGGTACAGGAGCACCATGTCTGGGTGCAGTGTTTCCAAAAATAGTACGTGTGCTACTTTTGGTGCAGTGTCAGCCCATTCCTAATGAAAGGACTGAAATCGCACTGAACTAAACTGCATGTGTACGCAGAAGGTTTTTTTTTTTTTTTTTTTCTTACCTTCATGTATAGGAAACATGAAGGGAAAAAACGTGATCCTTTAGAACCGTTTTAATCCAGTACTTCCAAACTGGAGCCCACAGGTGTTTTAATAGTGCTCACCAGATATATAGTAAAAGAAAAAAAAAACAACAACTTGAATAGTATCTTTCCGTAATGGGGAATATATGGTTTATTAAACCCTATTTGTTTTTTTTTTTTTTTTTAAATAAACAAAAATAATTGCGCTACGGCACAAATTTCACTCCTAAAAGGAAAGCAGCTGGCACAATATTTCAGGTAACAATATAATCAAGAATATATAAAGTGGTGGTGCAGCGCTAACTATAAAAAAGTAGACATAAAATTAGTCCATGAGCATCTCATCATAAGGTGCAACTAAAAGTCCAAAAGGATGGTGCAAATAACTAAAAGAAAATCTGACCGTCCACAAAGATCCTTATTGAATAGGCCATAGTTGATGGTGCTCAGAGGGATAGAAACACATGAAGGAAGAACCTCCAAACCAAACAACCTGCCTCTTACCCTGTGTTTTTGACCATTCAACCATGAACAGTCAAAAAGGGCAGTAGTAACAACACCATAAACGACACCGCAGGGCCTCCAGCCATTTTTCTCAATTGGCTCCAGTCAAATAGCAGTAATTCATATATATATATATATATATATATATATATATATATATATATATATATATATATTTAGAAAAAATACTCATGGTGTAGTAAGATTATAGTAAAACATTTTTTAAAGAAAACCACTCAAATTTTAACTTTTTAAATTTGAGTGGATTTTTTTGATTAAAATTTTATTAGACTCAAGCCGATTTGAGTGGTACCATTGAGGGAAACGGCTGGTCCTGCTGTGTCGTTTATGCTGATGTTACTGCTGCACTTTTTGACTGTTCCTGGATGGGGGCGGTCAGAACACAGAGTAAGAGGCAGTGTGTTTGGTTTGGAGGTGGAGGTTCTTACTTTTGTGTTCTATCTCTCTGAGCACCATCAACTACAGCGTAATCAATAAGGATCTTTGTGGACTGTTAGTTTTTTTTGTTTTTTTTTTTTTGCACCAGCCTTTTGGACTTTTATTTGCTCCTTATGATGTGATGCTTATGGACTAATTTTATGCTCATGTTTTATAGTTAAAGCTGCACCGCTACTTTGTATATTTTGTGTGTTTTTATACAATAACAGCACGAGATCCTCATTCGAATGATAAACATTTATTGCATAAAAAAAGAGTACACTTGCATGTTAAAATCTTGGCAATTGGCATGGCTGAAAGATGAAAATGCTGCAGGGTTGTTATCGGTGTGA